ATGCCAAATTCTGACCCCACCATCTGAATGTCGGAGCAACCAGTTTGCCCATTCTCTTCTGACCTCTGACATCAACAAGGCATTTTCATCCACTCAACTGGCGTTCACTGGATATTTTCTCTTTTTCAGACCATAGAGATCGTTGTGTGTAAAACTCACAGTAGATTAGCAGTTTTTGAAATACTCAGACCAGCCCATCTGGCACTAACAACCATGCCACGTTCAAAGTCCCTTTAATCATCGTACTTCTCCATTATGATGATCGGTTTTGCTGATTAGCAATTTGTGTTACCAAGCAATTGAACAGGTGTACCTAATAAAGTGTATGATGGAAGATTCTCTGGAGTCTGAAATGCTGGCAAATTTTTTTTTCCAGCATGGATTAATCAGCAATATCAGCATAGAAAAAATAAGATAAAATGGTATGCGTTATCCTTGTCTGCTCTACAAAACTGTGATCTAGCCATAAAAATGACAAATTCCCCTTCTGATAAAATTAGCCTCAGAGTATGATATTCGCTGTTCCTGCTGTTCTCCCTCTCCTTCCTCTATTGGAAGGCACATTACCTGAATACGCAGACCATGTAGTTTCATGAATACGTGGAAATGTGTAGCCTCTGCTCAGTCTGGTTTCAGTATGAAACCTTTCTGTCTGCAGTCTCATATTTGTTTGGTTTTGTTTGACATCGCCACTTCCTTGAATGAAAAGTTATTGTCACACAATCTTAACAAAGACCATTCTCCTTTATATATAAAAAAATGACAGTAATATGTAAAAAGGTGTACCTAAACAAATACACTACGCACTTCTTTTTTGCATTTTCAACCATTTTCAGGCTGCCTCTGTGCTGCCTGTTGCCCAACTTCCACTCCTCTATTTTGAGAAATAACATCTTGCTTCTGCACATAATACTATCATACTGAAACTGCACATGTGGCACCCTCCAGAACCTGGTAGGCATGGGAGGGACCCCCAGAGATAGGATGGACTGACATTTATCCCATGGGAGAGCACATGGCAAAAAAAAATGGAGGATTGAGAAACATTGGCCTCCAGTTGGTGGTTGGTGTCAGCAGATGGCAGAGAAGCAGCAGCAAACTGATATTCCTAGTGAAGATCTGGGCAGGGGGCATGTAAGCAGGAGGTAAGGAATCAGCAATACATTGATTTTTCCCAGTGTAGTGTAGGGGAGGGACAGCAGCAGGCAGCGAAACAGCAGTACACTGATCTTCCTAGTAAATAACTAGGCAGGCTGGCATGTCAGTAGGAGGCAATGAAACAGCAGTACGTTGACCTCTCTAATGAAGAGCTGGGCAGGAGGACTTGTCATCAGACGGCAGAGAGGCAGCAGTGCACTAATCTTCTTAGTGAAGAGCTGGGCTGGGGGGGGGGGGGGTGTCAGCAGTAGGAAAAGAAACAGCAATATACTGATCTTCCCAGTTAAAAGCTGGAGAGGGGAGCATGTTAGCAGGTGGCAGACAAAGGGCAGTGCACTGATCTTCCTAGTGAAGAGCTGGATGGAGTGCGTTTCAGCAGGAGACAGAGAAACAGCAGTGCCCTGGAGAGCTGTGCAGGAGTATCAGCAAAAAGCAGAATAACAGCAGTACAGTGATTTTCCCAGTGATCTGTGCAGGGGAGTTGTTAGCACAAGTCTGACCACTGAAGAACGGGCAGACTGTGTTCTCGAATATTATGCAAATAAGCAAACTGACCACACTGAGTTGGATGTGCTTCCATGTACAGCATGGTCAGTTTGAAAAAGGAAAGCAGGGGTACTGACAGGATTACCAGGTATTTCACACAAGGAAGCAATGCAAGGAAAAGAAACCAGGATCATTTATTAACATTATAACACACATAGATATCAGAAATAAGAAATTAGAGTAACATACACTTTAAATGAGTTGCAAACCATGGGCATCTTCAAAAATGTAAGTCTCTCAGCCCGTTCTATGTGGTTGCGGATTCTCAATTGAACAGTTGCAAACAGTGAATTAACTGTAAAACCAGAACTTCTTCCAGTATGCTCCAGTCTCTCACCAACTTGTAGGATCACGGAGGACAACAGACTTGCCTTTATTATTTGCAGAAGTGGCCCTGTAAGCAATGTCCTTTTTCCAAGGTTGCAGACCACCTAGATATGAAGGCCATACTGTAGTTCCAAGTCAGAAGGCAATCGTTGTACCTGCTGTTATTAGCCTTATTAGTAACTATTATGTCATTAATTTTAATAACATTATGTCATTAATATTATGCCATTAGCTAATATTGTAGATTTCATGTTGAAAGGTTTTTATTAGTGTTTTTCAGGAAGGAACAAAGTCATATCTAATGCAACGCCCACACAGGGGCTTCAAAAAATAAAATGCTGGACAAAGGCTGCAAGTATTGTATGATGTCAGTGACTTATGAGCGACATAGTTCAAGATGGTGGAAGGGCATAATAGTAGGGGAGGAGAAGGGAAAGATTGGGGCCCAGGTGGGGGGAAAAAGGAAGGAAAGGAAAAGGAGGGGTGGAATAGAGGAGGGGAGGGAAGGGTGTGGGGGGGGGGGAGACTACCACAAGTTCGGGTTCAAGCTGGGTATATAGTTAAAGGAATGTTAGGCTTACTGAGTCTAGGGAAGGTAGGGTGTTTTTGAGCCAAGGTTCTCAAGTTTTAAAGGATTTGAGCTGAGAGTCATTAAGGATGCTGGTCATCTTTTCATGAATCAACATTAGGCTCATTCCATCTTTGACTTTGTGTATGAAGGCTGTGGGCTTCTTCCAGGCCTTGGCTGTTGTTTGTTTGGTGGCCAGGAAAATGAATGTGGCCAGTCATGGAGGAGCCCAAAGACTCTGCACCAGAAAGAAAGTGGTTTTAGGCAGGACTGCCATGTGTGTTGTGCGTCACCTCATTGGCCGCAACCCTGAAAAACATCTGCCGGAATAGTTGGGATTCTCAAGGATTATCCGGGTCAGTTCCCAATACCACCTAAGGAGAACCTTATTGACTGATTCTAATATGTTCATATTTTTGGAGCTTTTGGCAACCCTGGACCAGGCTTTGTTCCAATCCACTAGATCAATGGGGTCTGCCAGATCACGCATCCAACTCGTTACATACAAAAGGAACTCTAGGGAGCCTTGGTTGTTGAGCATGGTGTACAGGATGGAGATTGACTTGGGTGCACCCAGGGTGTGTAAACAAAATAGTCGAACATTGATGTGGTATATGAGAATGTGGATAGGTGGCGCAAGGGTAGGATCCTATGGAAAAGCTGTAAAAAATCTGTAATGTTCATCTGCAGGGGCCTTATGGTGTTCCCACAGGGCAGACCAGGCAGGAAAAAAAAGTGCAAGGTCAAAAAATGAATAGTGGAAGGTAGAGGGGCATTAATTTTTTGGAATAGTGCAGTGAGTCCCAGATTTTAAGGGTATGTTACATCAAGGAACTTAGAGAAGTTGGGTGATCTTTTGGAATAACTGAAATCGGATCAATGCTTGAGATCCCCAGGAGTACCCAAAGGGGGATGTTAGAGGTGGCATGTAAAAGAAATTAGGCCTCATTCCCAGTGGCAATGATATACATGTGTTTATATGACTTTACAGGACATTTCTAAAGGCATATACTGTAAATGCATGTACTGATTTTAAATGATATAATTGTGTGTTTACCTGTGTTTAGGTATGTTCAGTTTAGCTGCATTTAAACAGAATTCTGTGCATCTGGGGCAGATTAGATACTTTAAATGTGTCTGTATGTAAACGGACATACATATAAATGCAAGAACTTTACTGTTCAGCATAAATAAAAAAAAATGATTTTAAACAACATTTAGTCCATATTAACCATTAGTGAACTCTAATAAATGTATATTACCTGCTTCCCCTAGCTTTTTTCTTCTGCTTTTTTAAATTTTTAAATTATTAGTCTTTTTTTTGTTGCAAATTTATAATTTGCATTTGTGTTTCTAGTTTCACATTTTAACATAATGTTTTGTACCACTAGTATATTTTAATGCCTTTATAAAAAGGAGAACATGTAGAATAAACAGTATCCCCAATTCGTTTTTTTACCTTAAAATGTGTAGTTAAATTTTAAGTTAACCCTCTCTTCCCTTAGCTTTTTAGAGCCATTTTAAATTTGTATTACTTTAGTGACACCAAGTTAAAGAGGTTGGGGAGGGGGGTGTCACACTTTGGCATCCCTGTCTTGGGTGACCTTGGGATACCTTTTCCTGGCTTTGAGACCCAGGCTCTCTGCTAGATCTGCTAGATTGATTCTTTCAGTCTCTGAGGTAGACTAGTCTATACAACCACAAATGTATGCTGGCCATACTTGTTAAGATTTTTTTTTTTTTCGCTCACAGTGGTTCCAAAGGCAAAAAGTTTTTTTTTTAACTTAAAGTGGAACTTCACTCTCTCAATCAACATTGATTATTTTTAATCCTTATGCTGTTAGCACTAGCAAATAGAAAGGAAAGTATATTGTATTTACTTGGTTTAAACTTTTTTTTTCACATGTCTTATATTGCAGGAGTGTTTGGGAGGGGGGAGGGGATTTCTCAGCTAAGCACACCCCTCCTGCCTGCATGCCTGAACTGAGGACAGATGGATTCCCTGTAAATGCCGCATGAATCATCTGCCCTTGCTAAAGATGGCCAGAAATGGTTAGGGCGTGTTGTTCAAAGTAATTTTTCAGCAAAATAAAGCATGGAGACATGGATGGTTGAGGGAGTTGGCTTTGAATATTAAAAATAATTAAATCGTGTTTTCATTTTCTGGTTTAGATGCAGTGTAGTTCTACTTTAATGCATTCTCTGCATTAACCATTTGCCGTCCGGCCACTGTATATAAACAGCCGGATGGTGGCAGTCCAGGGGCGGGTTGCCGTTCATAAACGGCACCCGCCATTATGGACTGTGCGCGCTCCCTGGGAGCACGCAGCACCTCGATCCGGTGCCCGCTGTGTCCTCCGGACACAATGGAACACCGATCGTTGGACGGGATCCCGATCATATGATCACTGATTAGCCAATCAGTGATCACATCCAGAGTAGTAAGCAAGATGTCACTTCTGACATCATTGCTTACTACGTGTGAAATCTGTGAATGATCACAGATGTCACATGGTACAAGGCTATTCACAACAGCCTTGTACCATGTGATAAGCTGTGACCAATCACAGCTCACACTGTAGTTCTCATTGGTTGCAACAATGCAGCCAGGGAGAAGGAGAAATGATTGCATTTTACAGCCTTTATGGATGTAAAAGCAATCAGTGTAAAAAAAAATAAATAAATAAAATCTTCATCACCCCCCACAAGTAGTACAGTGTCACCATGGTGACACTGTACTGCTAGGGTGACAGTATGTAGAAAAAAAAATTATAATTTTTGGTTATAAACTAATTTGGTTATTTTTGTTTTTACTAAAAGGATAACTGAATATATTTTGGCCAAAATTTATGATGAAATTTTATGTATTTGCAAACTTTTATAAGAAAAAACACTTTTTTCCAAATTTTTTGACTTTTTCATTTATATAGCAAAAAAAAAAAAAATCCAAGTGGTGAATAAATACCACCAAAATAAAGCTTTATCTATCTCAAAAGAATGCTAAAAAATTCATGTGGGTACAGTGTTGCATGACCGCACAATTGTCATTCAAAGTGTGATAGAGCTAAAAGCTGAAAATTGGCCTGGACAGGAAGGGGGTAAAAGTGTCCGGACTGGAAGTGGTTAAGGTAAAAACCTTCCAAAAACACGTTCCCCTCACCCCCTCCCTAAACACTTACCTGGATCTCCTCTTAATCCAGCACACTCCCATCTGCAGCAACACTGCTCACTTTTCCTGGTCTCACAGGAGACTCTGACAGTAATGGGAGCCATTGGCTCCCACTGCTGTCAGTCAAATCCTGTGAAGAGGCCAAGCCTCTCTATGTGTGTCCATGGATGCACACAGCCCAACTTCGGAGCAAGCCCATGTGAGTTCCCTATCAGCACACAGCTTGCTATTGGGGCACTTGCAGAAGAGGAGGAGCAGACAGAGCCGAAGGGGGACCACCATAGAAGATGTAAGGAACTGTTCTGTACAATATCATTTTGCAGAGAGCAGGTAAGTATAACATATAAAACAAGAAGAGCAGCGCTAAAACCAAGTGACAAACTGGGTAAAACAAATATTAAGTGGATAATGCAATGTATATAAAATGGATATAATATGAATATAATATGAAGTTCCTGTCACTAATCGTGACTAGCTGAATAGATAATAGTCCCAAAATATCAAAAGCCCACGTGAGGGTCAAATGTGATCATATAAATGCGTGGGGGACTTGATCCATAGTGGCAGAAACAGGTAGAGAGTGAATGAATGAATTGCGCACTCACCAGAAGTGCATAAGTATTACGCCTTTGAGATATGCCTGTCTCACCAGGTATGCACAGGTATGCACAGGGTCATCAGGGTCAGGATCCTATACGCCTTCTGGTCACGTCTCAGGAATGGCACTCAGATGCGTAACACGTTGGAAGGTCCCTTTAGGATGCAGGTTCTTCAAGCCCTGCACCCTATGATGATGAGCTTCGCTCGAAACGCGTCGGAGGGGCTACAGCTGGACGTTTAACCACCGCAGGTGGCCATCCTGAATTGAATTTTATATGGTCAGTGTCTTTTACCTTACGCTGTTGCAACACATTTAACCGATCTGTATGCACTTATTTGTGAATAAAATATCCCTACGGTGTCATGCTATGTGGTGTCCCTTACTTAGCTCTCTTTATTGAAAGCCTTCACCCGCAGAACCTGCATCCTAAAGGGACCTTCCAACGTGTTACGCATCTGAGTGCCATTTCTGAGACAGTGTCATGCCATGCGTGACCAGAAGGCGTATAGGATCCTGACCCTGCTGACCCTGTGCATACCTGGTGAGACAGGCATATCTCAAAGGTGTAATACTTATGCACTTCTGGTGAGTGCGCAATTCATTCATTCACTCTACCTCTTTCTACCACTACGGATCAAGTCCCCCACGCATTTATACGATCACATTTGACCCTCACGTGGGATTTTGATATTTTGGGACTATTATCTATTCAGCTAGTCACTAATAGTGACAGGAACTTCATATTATATTCATATTATATCCATTTTATATACATTGCATTATCCATTTAAAATTTGTTTTACCCAGTTTGTCACTTGGTTTTAGCGCTGCACTTCTTGTTTTATATGTTATACTGAAGGTGTCGTTTGGTTGCCTTTTGTGTCCTAGCCTCTACATTCACGTTTAATTTCTGATAGCGCTCATATTTCCACTTTTTGCTAGGTAAGTATAACATGTTTATTATTTTAATTAACCGCTTTCCCGACGCCCTGTAGTAGCAGAAAAACTGCTACAGGGCGGCATATATGCATAGGGTATATATATGTGATTTTGCATTTCCAGGTAGGCCATTGGCAGCCTCAGCTGTCAATCACCGGGTCCCGACCAGTTATTCCCCATTGGCACCCGGCGATCACAGTGTATCACGGACAGGGGAGAGCCCTTTATGTAAACAATACAGATTTCTCCCCTGTCAGCTACTGCACACTGCTTTGTATGGCTCTGCACAGTGCAAAGCACATACACAGCACATAGTGAAACAACACACAGTTAACCCTTTGATCACCCCAGATGTTAACCCCTTCCTGCCTAGTGTCATTAGTACAGTGTCAGTGCTTTTTATTAGCACTGATCACTGTATTGGTGCCAGTGACAGCTAGTCAGTTACACCCCCGGTGTCAGAATGCCCGCCGCGGTCCCGCAGTCCTGCTATTAGTTGCAGATCACCGCCATTACTAGTATGAAATTTTTTTTTTTTAAATTCCAGCATATGTACCGCCATTTGTAGACGCTATAACTTTCACATAAACCAATTAATTTACACGTATTGGGATTTTTTTTAGCAAAGACATATAGCAGAATACATTTTGGCCTAAATTTATTATGAAATTTTTTTTACTGGACATATTTAATAGCACAAAGTCAAAAATATTGTTTTTTTTTTCTCAAAATTGGCGGTCTTTTTTTTTTTCTTTATAGTGCAAAAAATAAGAAATGCAGGGGTGCTCAAATTCCACCACAAGAAAGCTCTAATTGTGGGGAAAAAAGGACATAAACTTCATTTGGGTGCAGCGTTGCATGACCGAGCAATTGTCAGTTAAAGTAATGCAGCACCATAACGCAAAAAATGACCTGGTCAGGAAGGGGTAAATCCTCTGGAGGGCACGTGGTTAAACCAAAAGGCTTACAAACACTTTCATTCCCCCATCCATGCTAAAAAGCGAGAATGGATGAATCTGCAGTGCCATCTATTGTGTTCTGCCAGCCGACACCTACAGCTGTGAGAATACCTGAACAGCGCCACCGTCTGATTGGATGCACTGATTGCAGGTATTACGCCTTGTAAACCCCTGTAAAAAAATAATAAATGTGCTTTTGCTTTCCTACAAAACGGGCATTTTTTTAGAAAGGTAAACTTAGCCTTTAACTCTCATTCAGTCTGTTCACACACACAGTTACCTCTGTCTTTTGAGACACGTTTACTCACACCAGCCTCACACACTCCCCCAGTGAAGACTACAAGTTGCCTGTGCTGACGTACATTCCACAGACATGTTCCATGGTGGTGACCATTAGGAAACCCACCCTGAGAAATGATACTTTGTTTTACCTAATAATTGAATTTCGGTTCAATGTCTTTCGTAAAACAACTGTGCAAACTTTGACCTACACACCACACAAAACAAGAAGTCTTGGGTTAAAAGTACGCCATCTGTTTTATGATTGAAGATTCAAATGTCTTTTTTAAACCACATGAAACCTGAAGCAAGACTGCTTGAGAAACAATATGCAGCTTCTGAAGCAATGCTTGTGGTCTTCCTCTTCTGCTGTTGTCACTTACTAGCCTTATTCTAGTTCAAAGGAATTTGGATCATGACAACAATCAGCACTGAATCCACAGTAACTGCCCCATAGGAACATTGTATTGATTTTTTTTTGTAAAGTAAGTTTAAAGTGTAGTTCCACTTTTACGGCAAAATTGGGATAACGCCTCCTTTATATGTGTTACATATCCCCTTTCACAAAGCATGACTTGAAAAAAAAAAAATTTCAGATTACCTTTTTTAGATGCTCTAGTCTGGACCCTCCAGCAAGGAAAAATCCTAGGTAGTTCTCTTTGTTTATGAGGGGGCTGGGCAGCTGTGTTTGCCTTAGTATACTATATACTCAGGGGCATATTTACCACAAAGCAAACAAGGCATTTGCCTAGGGCGACATTTTTTAGAGGGGCAGCATCTGGAAGAAGGGATATATGCAGCACGGGGACCAGGTGGGATCTGAGAGAGGCTGTGGGCTGCTTGTTGGTGTATGCAGAGCCCAACAGTCAATGGGGGGATGGCCAGAGCTAAGAAGGTGAGTGTCTTTGTCTCTGTCGCTTGGGGGGGGAGTGTTCGTGGAAAGCTCTCTCTGGTGGGGGGGATGGGGCAATGGTGTTGTTGGTAACTGTCAGGCTCTCTCCGGGGGGAAGGGGGGGTCTGGCGTTGGTCACAGTGGTGTATTTACAGTGGTGTAAATACACCACTGTATATACTTCAATACTGTGCAGGCAGATCTTCATTATCTATTGTAATTACTGTAGATTTGTACACTATTGGGGGAATTTATTAAGACTATTGCACATAGAATCTGGTGTGCTTGTGCATAGTAACTAATCAGCATCTAGGTTTTATTATCAAATCTTAACTGCTTCCCGACCGTCCTATAGCAGAAATACTACTACAGGGTGGCACAGGTGCACAAAATCACGTATATATATATGTGATTTTGCATTTCCAGGTAGGGGGCATGTGCAAGGTGAGCACGCGTCCTACCCGCGCCACCATTCGTGGCTGCGGCTGTCAATCACTGGGTCCCGGTTGGTGATTACTCGCAGGTGCCCGGTGATTGCCAAGCATCTCCGATAGGAGGGATAACTGTTTGTAAACAAAACAGTTCTCCTCCCTGTCAGCTCGTGCAGTTCTCCTCCCTGAAGCACAAAGACACAGCACACAGTAAAAAAGCACACAGCACACAGTTAACCCTTAGATCGTCCCTCATGTTAACCCATTCTTGCCCAGTACCATTAGTATAGTGTCAGTGCTTTTTTTATTTTAGCACTGATCACTGTATTGGTGTCACTGGGGATATCAGTGACAACCAAGTCAGTTCCCCAGAGTGTCAGACTGCCCACTGCAGTCCCGCTATAAGTCGCTGATCACCGCCATTACTAGTAAAAAAACATTTAAAAAATTTCAGTATCTATACCGCCATTTGTAAATGCTATAACGTTCCCATAAACCAATTAATTTACACGTATTGGAATAAGAACAGCAGTGTCTTTTTATATCCACTGGTCCATAGAGCAGATCGGGTTCTGTCTGTGTCCGCTGTACTGAGCAGACACGGACTTGTCATCCACCCACTCTGCTCGGATCAGCAGACGAATCCCCTGCTGATCTAATAAGAGTTTGCCCGATGTGAAAGGGGCCTAAGGACCCATACACAGTGAGAGTTTGGCCCAAGTGATAAGGTGTAGCCAAAAGTGACAAGTGCAGCACCCAGTCCATGCAGGCAGCATGTTAACCACTTGTCAACCGCGCTATATCCGAATGACGGCTACAGTGCAGTTTTCCAGTCCTGGGATGGCGTCATATGACGTCCTCCCAGAACGTACCCTCCCGCGCGCCTTCAGGGGCACTCACCCGGCAATCTCTGTGATCACTGTGTCCTATGGACACAGTTAATCACGTGATGTGGTAAAAGGCCAATCACAGCGGCCTATTACCACGTGATCTGTCATGTCCAATGACACAGCAGATCACCGGTAAATGCAGTTGCTGGTTACCGGCTGCACTTTCCTCATGCTGTCACTGCGTGAGGAAAGTGCTGCCGATAACCGGTAATTGTCAGAGGACGGATCAGCACTGATCATCAGGGCACTGATGATCAGTGCCCGGCAGTGCCACCCACCAGTGCCACCCACTTGTGCCCATCAGTGCCCAAAATTGCCACCCACCTGTGCCCAGCAGTGCTATCCACCAGTGCCCAGCAGTGCCCCCCATCAGTGCTGCCCTGCAGTACCACCAGACAGTCCCCAGCAGTGCTGCCTATCAGTGCCCATCAGTGCTGCCTATCAGTGTCCATCATTGTTGCATATCAGTGCAGCAGCATCAGTGCCGCCTCATCAGTGCCAGCTCATTAGTGCCGCCTATCAGTGCTGCCTATCAGTGCCCATCAGTGCTGCCAATCCGTGCCACCTCATCAGTGCCGCCTATCAGTACTAATCAGTGCTGCTTATCAGTGCAACCTCATCAATGCACATCAGTGAAGGAGAAAAATTACCTCTTTGCAAAATTTTATAATAGAAACAAAGAAAAACTTTTTTTTCACATTTTTTGCTCTTTTTTTGTTTATAGCGCAAAAAATAAAACACCCAGCGATGATTAAATACCACAAAAACAAAGCTCTATTTGTGTGAAAAAAAATGATAAAAATGTCATATGGGTACAATGTTGCATGACCACGCAATTGTCATTCAAAGTGTGACAGCGCTGAAAGCTGAAAATTGGCCTGGTAAGGAAGGGGGTGTAAGTGCTGGTAGGCAAGGGGTTAAACTCTATGAGAGGCTGAAGGTTGCTGCAGCCAGGCAGGGCAGGATGGTGCACCAAGTACTACTAAAGTATTGGACAGTATGAATGAATACCTACAATTCAAAATGAATGTGTTCTGGATATTCGTCCTGGGTGTGTAATGCCTTGAATGTTAGTACCACCCAGTGCATGGTTCAGTCTTCTGATGCCACAGCAGCTTTCAGCTTTCCTAGAGTTTAACAGGCTGCTGACAGCGGGGCTGGCCAGTCCATCTGTACCTTTCTGCCCTCACCTAATCGCCAGATCCTCATGCATCAAGGCCAAATGCCCAGTGTCCATTCCTAAATTAATAAAGTAACGTTTCAGTACTCTAAGGGCTCATGTACACTGCAGCTGGTAAACTCACGATTTAGGAGCTGTTCAGCATTTTTTTCAGCAGCCCCTGAACTCTCCCCAATGTTTTGCTATGTGTCCATGTACACATTTTCATTTACAGTCGTTTACAGGCAGCTGAGTTTACAGTCGTTTTTTGAACACAGAAAACTTGCATTCAACAGTAGATTTTATCAGCGCTTCAAACGCAAAACGCTTGTAAATGCGGCTAAATGCAGCTTGCGTTTATAAGCATTTGAAATTTTTTTTCAACTCTTACAGTTCCCGATGCTGTCCAGAACCTTTTTTCATCATGAAAAATGCATGCAAAGCATTTTCAAGGTACTCTGATGGACAAAACACTGAACACAGGATGTTTCTACCAATATACTATATAAATTATTCAAACCAAAAACAACATCAATATACAATATCCAATTGCTCAATTGACCAATGCAAAAAAAGTCCAAAATGCAAAAACACAGTCCATAATCCCCTATGCAGATACTATATTTAGGAGGTGCTCTCCACGTGGACCTTTCACCTTCTCTCCT